AAAAACTACTTCCAAAAACATTCAGCTTTGATATTAATGAGTTTTTTGGGTTCATTGAGAACATGGTTGTTGTTCAATAATACAATTATTCCTCAAAAATACAACTTGCCTAATAATTCTCCACTCCCTGTAGTTGACATAGCATTGTGTTGCTATATGATCTTAAATTGGTCATATGATTGGTTTACCATGGCTACTTCTTCCTCAGCCAATCAGCGTGGGGTGAGTGAATCAAACCGGAGCCCTTAGAGCTGGAGGGTAGTGCAGATTGTACAGAGTTGGCCAAACAAAACAGACTCCAGCTACTTATTTTATTGCCAGATCAGACCATATGGAGGTTATGTTTTTCCAGCCAGGAATAACCTAAGATGAGGGGTTTGTCAGGCGAGAAGAAGGTGAAGAAGGAGATGGATTCGCAGTGGCAGACGAGACTAAACAAATGGGCCAATATTATGCAGCCGACTGCTGCATAATATTAGCAAACACCAGTTTGTGCAGTGGTAGGAATGGGAGGTTCCATGGAGTCAGAGGCCTACATGGTTGAGTAATTTGTAATCAATGAGGTTCTGTTCAGCACGGGATCAAGGAGAGCAGAAACAAACCCAAGCATGGAAATCCTCTCTCTCCTCTGGAGTCAAGCACAAATGCTCGATTTGCATGTGCTGCAGCTCCGAAGAGGAACAGGAGGACACTGAAACTGAAACAATAGCTGGAGATGGGATAGTTGGGGCAGACGGGCTAAAATAATTCTACCAAGGTCTTAGAACTCTTTTCTGCCTCCCTGTCTCCCAGCCAGTTGTTGATCGTGATGGGAGAGAGATTAGCTCCTCAAATATAAAGCCTGGAGAAATACTGTGTAAAGCATAATCTGGCCAGCCTGCCTCAGTGGCATTGGTGTGAAACTCAACTTAAAACTCACCTACTCAGCAGTTTCCCTGGTGGAGATTAAGCAATTTTTTTGGCTGAACTGAATCTCAGACACAGGATGAGCAAATGCGCTTCAGGAAAACATCATATGGAGAGGCAGAAATGAACAAAACCTTAACAAGCCTCGGCCCATGACAGTGCTCTTTCCCTTAATAAATTGCTTACATGGAACAGCTTAGTGGCATCACTGGGGAAACATTGTACTGACTTACAGGAGAATGTTTCGGGTGTGTGAAAAATAGTGTCACATAATACTGTGCCAGAAACCATGAAGTTCGCATTGGGAAATAACTGGGAGTCAGACTGGGATTGGGCCATAGCTGGTGGATCCTATGCAGAGGCAAGGAGTTACACTAGAATACATCTCTTGAACTAAAGCGGGTAGTTCCTCCTGCTTATCAATGATAGTTTGCCATTTCTTATCTAGGACCTGGAGAGCCTGTTTAAAAATTATGGTACGTGTTGGGTCCGCTTGGTTTATCCCTTGCCAGATGGTTGCAGGTTGGACCCAAAAGCAGACACAATAGACTGAAAATTCCAAACAGTGAAACGTTTATTGAAGACAGTGATCTTAGGGATAGGGGATAGGGGATAGGGGCAGGGACACAGCGAAACAGACACAGGGAGACAAAGTTTAGCACAGGAAAGGTTAGGAAGATTACATAATAAACATGGAAATTTTTTT